AGTTGTAACTTAGATGAAAAAAGTGCAATTTCTTATGTTGTAAATATGTGCCGAGTTTGGTTTTCCTACTGCAACGCGTTAAAAAGTTAACTGGGGGGTTCCAGACTTTTGCCTAACCCTGTATGTATTTGTTTTGATTTGGTTTTATCGTTTTGTATTATCATAATAAAAATTTTTATTATTATTAAGATTTGATTATTATTATAATAAAAACAAATACATATACTAATTTGACAGTTACAATCAGGTGATCTTTTGTTTGCAATCCGAGTGACGTCAGAATATGACGGGAATAGCACACCTATGTTTTTCCTTCCACCATGACTTGCGACGTTGCCAATTCTACCAGCGATGTACATAGTTATGATACTAGGAATAAGTTTGATATCTTTGTACCTAGAAATAGGCTTCAAAAATCAATGTGTTCTTTTCCTATTTCAGGCAAAGAGTTAAACTTTTCAACAAATTGCCCCAATGTACAAGAAATTTACACACAGAAAAATTCTCCACTTTTGTAAAAAATTGGCTCACTCTAAATCCTTTCTACCATATTTCCGAATTTTTCAACTGCGACAAAAGCAATTGGTGGACGAGCCCATTGTACTTATTGTATTTAATGGCAATAAAGACTTATGACTTATGAGGTCGCGGCCTGGTCGCCTTTAACTCCAGGCCGCGGCCTTCGAAGTGGCAACGTTGCAAGTGGTGTGTTGTAACAGCTGTTTTGTTTGGAAGCAGCTAATGGTATTTTTGTATTTACGAAAGATTGGTTACTGGACTATGACTAACTCCAATTAAAATGTACAGATATACATTTTTAATTTATATTGTTTCGGTTTTCAGTTTTGTATGTTTTAAATTTAATGTTTTAATAAATTTATGTTCATAAATTTAAATTAATAAAATTTCGAATTAATGAGCTGATGTCACCTGTTTGCAATGTTATCTTATGGGACGTCTGTCACTAAACAACACCACTTGCGACGTTGCCAATTCTACCAGGCCGCGGCCTGGAGCTAAAGGTATCTGATTCTGATGTAAACAAACCTGAAATTGAAGCTGTCAGTGTCAATAGTGTTATTCATTGCAGCAATAGCAAAAATTATGAGACCGCGTTTCCACCTTTTCTCGGATCAGGTCCTTCTGAGGGACAGAAAAATAACGACCAACCTACATGGAATCAGTGGCATGGTAAGAGATTTAAACATAAAACCCGGAAACAACCAATAATTGGGTCAAAGGTAGATGACATTACATGTAAGGTTAGGGCAGTAAGTAAACTGGAATGGATATTTGTGTCCAAAGTTAGTCCTAACTGTTCCAAAGATGACATTTGTGATTATTTGAAGACCTCTGGGGTTGTAAATGCTGAGTGTGTTGAGTTGAAATCTCGGATCGGCAGGTATAAGTCCTTTAAAATCTGTGTCACTTCTGAACTAACATCTAAGGTGTTGTCACATACTTTTTGGCCTAAAGACATTCTTGTAAGGGAGTTCATTGAAAGGCAAAATACTCCTAGGACTGGGTTTTTCCCTTCTCGAACTTTTTTAGGGAAAAATCATTCATAGCTCAAAAGAGTACTGCTGCTAGGCCTATGATAAATCTTTGCACAATAAACATTCAGTGCATGCGAAATAAAACTATGTGAAATAAAACTAATGAAATCGAAATTTTAAGCCTTGAGAAGAACATTGATATTTTGTGTATTTGCGAGCATTGGCTCTTAAGTGATGAAATTCAGTTTTACAATACAGTTAGTAATTTAAAACTAGCAGCATACCGTTGCAGGCAGTCAGCTACTGGTGGGGTGGCTGTGTATCTCAGTAACAAACTTGCAGGTAATTATAAACCTTTGGACTTAAGTGGTTCTCTGAGGATCTCCAGGTTGAATTTGCAGGTGTAGTGCTGCCTAATTTTTCAATGGCGGTAATAAGCATGTATCGCTCTCCTAGTGGTAATGTATATCGATTTTTTGAATTGCTTGAACTTTGTCTAAGTTACCTTACAACCTTAGGCCTCTTTGTGGTGATTGGAACCGATCATAATATCAATTTGCTTAGCTCTGACAACCACGCGTCTGATTTTGTAAATTTGATGCAAACTTTTAATATATTCCCTTCAATCGTCGAACCAACTAGGGGTCCTGCATCTTTGGACACTTTTCTAACCAACTTGGACAGATGGGACTATGTGGCTGCGGTAAGTGTGGACAGTATTGCAGATCACAAGCATGTTCTGCTGTCGGTGACTACTCCGAATGTGGATCAACATCACCAGGCGTCCTCAAAAGTGGTATCCTTCAGAGTCTACAGTGAGGAGGCAGAATTTAAACTTAAAGAATACCTAGAACTGAATGCACATTTCTGGTTTGATGAAATCAAAGCATTGACAGCAAATGATGCTTTCATGTTTTTTCATGCCAACTTCAACATGGCCTTTGATCATTTTTTCCCAATAAAATGTAAAAAGGTGCATGTTGGCAAGTCAGGGGTTTCTAAAAATAATGGTTTGCCTGTTGTTAAGGACTGGTATACCCCTGAACTCTCTAGGCTAAAGAACATGATAACTTTAGTTAATGATTTAGTTAGTGTAAGACCTGATCTGTCTAACTTGCTTAAGCTGCTTAGAACACAATACCGTAAGAATGTGAGGGATGCAAAGATCAACTCAAATGCCGCATACATAACAGGGGCTTCCAATCCCTGTAAGGCGGCCTGGAATTTAATAAATCAAAATAGACCTCAAACAAAGTCTGATATTCTTGGTCCGTCTTTTGCATCTGCTGATGTATTCAATTCGTACTTTGTTGAGTCTGTTGAGTCCATCTTGTCAACCATTCCAAATATAACACAATCCTCTCCTGTGATCCTGTCAAGCATACCTAATGGTGCACCTACTTTTGAATGGAAACATGTATCGGTCCAAGACATTATTAATGCTGTTTTGGGCTTTAAACTCTCTAACAGTAAAGATGTGTATGGCATGACACACCTAATCTTTTGAAACACATTGTGTGGGCACTGGCACCTATACTAGCCCATTTGGTTAATGTATGCTTTTTAGTAGGTATTTTTCCTGCTCTATTCAAAGTCTCTAGAACTGTGCCTGTCTATAAAAAAGGGTCCCGTGACAATGTTGCAAGTTATCGACCAATATCGCTGATTCCTGTATTTTCTAAACTGTTTGAAGCTATTATGTTTGCTCAATTGTACGACCACCTTGAAGCACACAGCCTTCTGGTGCCTGGTCAATTTGGCTTCAGGAAAGCCAAATCCACTATATTGGCTGTTGATTCTATTGTACAATTAATTGTTGATGCTTTTGAGTCTAAGAAATCTACCTCCGTAATACTTTGTGACCTCTCTCGCGCTTTTGACTGCGTGTCACATGAAACTTTGCCCCTGAAATTGGGAAAATATGCCTAGAAGGCAGTGCTCTGAGATTGGTCAAATCCTACCTCAGTGATCGCCAACAGGTTGTAAGTTGGAATGGTATTACATCTAAATCGTTAGCTGTAAGACACGGGGTTCCGTAAGGTTCCATTATGGGACCTCTGTTATTTTTAGTAACAATCAATGACCTCTATACCAGACTTGAAGGTAATTGCATGTTGTATGCAGATGATACTTCCCTTATCATGTAAAGCGACCCGTGAACAAGCAGAGCTGTCTGTTAAGAAGATTTTTGAGTCAGCCTCAAATTGGTTTGTTGACAATAAATTAGTGCTCAATAATGAGAAAACACAGTACATAACATTTAGCCTATGTGATTCCCAGATTGTTCCTTTCCAAGAGCCTGTCAAAATTATAGACTCACCCAATGTCGAAAACATCCTGCGACTGCAAAAGAAGGCAGTAAGAATTCTCTGTCATGCTCACTATAAAGAACACAGTAAGCCCTTGTTTAAGAGACAAAGAATTCTGGCAGTTGTAAATATGTACATATTCCAATGCCTTGTTAGTACAGAACAGCATGAATGATTTACATGTAACCAGTTCAGTGCACAATCATGACACTAGGTATAGTTCTAAGCTTGTCATTCCTCGGTCCAGGACTGATAAAAGAGCTAGGTCATACCCTGTTTCAGGAATAAAACTGTTCAATCACCTTCCTCTTCCTGGTCATGTGAGAAATCAGGAAAGAAAGAACTTCCAAACCGCAATATTAGACTGGCTGATTGAAAATCCTTTTTTCAAATTTAAAGAGTTTTTTGAAACTGTAGTTAGTAAAGTAAGTTTTCCTCTGAACAGCCTGTTTGCTGTTTTTGCATAGTGCATGCATTTTGCATGAACTGCATTTGTTTGCTTTGTATCTTTTGTGCATGGTCTTGAACATATTTTTTTTCACATGGTTGGTTTTGATCGATTTTTGGTTGGTTTGATTTTTAACTCTTGATATTTATTTTATTTTATGCTTGTACATTACGCTTGTACACTGACATAGCATGTAACAATGTTGTTGTTGATTGGCCAAATAAATTCATTGTAAGGTGGTGGTGGTAACTGGGTAAACACAGGGTACCTACATATATTTTTTATTGTACAGCAGTAGCATTTTTAACGAAGTCAATACTTGATACTTGATGTCTTCGTCTTTGACCCAGATTGTGGGATTGACTGAGTCAGATGGCTATTTCATTCCCGTGAATAGTGGGATTCCTTCAATACAAAATAGAAACGCTTTTAATGGAAAAGTGGTCCAAACCATTAACGTTTTATGGATGTGCCGGGAATCATAAATTTTCTTGGTATGATTAACCTGTTATCTTGCGATAATGTACCAAATTATTCCTATAGTGAGAAGTCTTTTTGTACCATTCAAATTCAAAAACAACAATTAAAAGACGTAATCCATAAATAGTAAATCACTCATTCATTTTTATAAAACACTGTTATTATATGTATAACATTTTGTCACATCACATAATGATACTCCTTGCACGTAACTCAGACTTCCACCGCCTCCTTCAACTTCTTCAACTAACTAACTTCTTCAACCACTTGCAAATGGCGTCTGCCAAGTGTGTGAGGAGTCGGAACTTTTGGTAAAAAACACCGAAGAAGTTGTTTAAGGCAAATTTGTAGTGTTTCTTGTAACATTTAATCGAGTTTAACGTGTAAGTATCATATTTTATTTATTTTACAGTGTTGTTTTCTACGTTATTTATATTAATCTTTCTAACAAAGTCAATAAGAGGGATGGGCTAACTTTTCTTTTGAAAGAATTTGTGCTCACCAGTAGCTATATCTTCTCTATGACTTGTGGTTGATTATTGATATTAGATTTGTTTAATATATCACAAATATAATGTTTGTAATGTCTGCTATTTTGTTTTGTAATCAGATCCCTAGTATACCGGTAATGCAAACTTTTAAATGTCAAACTTACCGTAGCCTACCTATTGATAAGAGGGGGAGATTAAAGGTAGCCTAAGTTATCATTTAGGCATAAGATACTTGATAGTCTATTATGCTGAGAGTTAAGGGTTTGTAAATTAATTTACTGGTTAAGTTGTTAGATGCTACATGAATAGGCCTATATCTGTAAATTGTATCAATTTCATCTTCGTACATACCTAGGACTAAGAATAAGTAATGAATTGTAATTAGCCTAATTTAATTTTGAGCTAGCTAAATGGTTGGTAACTTATTTGTTTACTTTGATAAGTAAATATCCATATTGTAAGTTGGTCAATCGCAAGCTTCAAAACTTAACTGCATTCATGGTCGTCAAAATCGTCATTATTCATGGTGAGACGAGTTGTCTCCTCTTATACATGTGATCCATTCAAGGACTTAGGAAAAATAGGGAGGATAGATATGGGTCTTAAGTTTGCGGGTTACGCCGAATCGCCTATTTGCATTAAGTGTTTTAAAGTAAGGTAAGGAAGGTAAAGTGTAGGTTGTAACTTAGTGAAACGAGCTGTTTAGCCTAGGATGTGCCAGAACTATTTGTGCCATTGAATTAACTTGGCTTCAAGCAACAAAACTATTTAAAAAATTCATTTTTTTAAATTTGTAGGCCTATTTTGTTGTTTAAAAAACAACATTCTGGATGTCACATGAATAAACAATTCGGTTTACTTACTTACAATCTACACTTAAACTTACCTGATCCAAACTTCAAAGGACTTGCACCCTAGAAACCACATAAAAACCCGGACTGTCTTTCTGTCATCACACCGAATTTTGAAATGATTCCGCAAGTTTGGCTAGGTTAGGTTATTTTAGAACAGGTTAATTTCATAATCAATAGGCCTAGATATTATTCTTGCTCTTGGTACGGTACCTATACAAGTAGGCTAGGCTTACCGTACTTAGAAGATACATGGTTAAACTAAATTAGGGCAAAACATGCTTTACCCTATCTAATCTACGGTAACACTTTACCCACTTTTTTTTATGAGAGCGCATATAATTTTCATTGCATAGGAAAGAAATAATTAGCCTAACTTTTTTGTCGTTTTTCTGATTTTCTGTATGTGTGATTTGAGTTTTCTGGAGAAAACAACAATCATTTTTGAATTCATGACGTATTTAGAATTTTTATATAGGTAGTGTAGAAAATACTATAACGTGACATCTGTGATCGATATAATCACTGTTAGTTTAGTTTATGAAACTGATGATATGAATACAAATTGATGTTTTTGTAATTTATCTCTTTAAAGAAGAAATTTATTAAAATAGCCTACAAACTTTTGTAGGATTTATAACTTTATTGAATAAAAACTATAGGCTATCCAATATGATATAAATTTTTATCTAGGGCTGAGAAGCTACACTTGGTTCTTTTCAGAACTGTACCCCTAAAGATTCAACTGGCACAGGACGGAATTAGAGTGATAGCGCCCTGCAAAGTTTGATGGTTCTAAAGAGATTACGATACATTATCGGATAACTTATTTGTTCAATATTTAAATATCATATCCGATATAGTTTAGGCTACATACGATATAAATATGGATTTTATGTTTTTCTAGAAAGGGCGTTTTTCAAGAACTTAGTGTTGAATGTAGACAATATGACCGATAGTAATATGTCCCTGACAATGTGCTTTTTGGGATATTAGTATAATATGAAAAAAGCCCTTTTATAAAACCTGTATTTATTTATATTTATAACTTGAATATGTTATAAATAAGTTACCCTAACTATTTCAGATAGTCAGCAAAATGCCAGCAGTGCGTGGAGATGGCATGCGTGGTTTGGCAGTTTTCATATCAGACATCAGAAATTGTGAGTAGGCCTTATCTACAAAACTTTTTGGAATCATTATACCTAGGTCTATAAAACTCTAATCTCCTAAATGTAACTTAGTATGGCAGCATATTATTTACCTATGTAATATGATATCAAAATTGAATCTAAAATTTGAAATTTATCAAATTTTCATAATAAAATTTGATATGAGATTTGATTGAAAAGATTGGACAGTTAAATTTCATTTTTTCTGCAAAAGGTTGACTTTAACAAAAGTTTACTTAGCTCATGAAAAATCTGATGTTGAAATCAGTTTGCTTGGATTCCGTTAATTTGTATTTGATCACTCCTAAAATATTATATTAATCTATTATATTATTAAAGTGATACAATCAAATTTTATGTAAACGCTTAAGGCCATTTACCATATAAAAACATAGGCATATAGCATATCAAAATGAAGCTTAGAGTGTGTAGATTTGCCGAAAAGTATTGATATGGACGAATTCCCTAAGGGCTGTCCCCCACTGGCTGATTTCCAAAGGGCTACACCTTGCATGTTTTGGAAGTTAACATTATTCGATTAATTTAGTGAACAACAGCTGGCCAATGCAATTGACAATATAGTTTGTTTGTTTACATTTTTGTTTACTTATTTTTTATTTACTTTTATGTTCTTAAACGAGGTGCGGTGAATGGACAGTGAAGCTTTTTCTAGCTGTTAGTTACAAGTAAGTGATTAAGGTGTTCGAAACACGATGAATATGAGATTAACAAACCATATATGTTGTTCGTTCCAAGAGGTTATCACCGATCTTTAACATCAGGTCACCAATTAATTGAAAAATATTTAAGTAAAGTATTAAAGACGTTGTGAAAGAGAGCGGCGAGGTCAGATACAACCGTACCCACCTCGGCCACCTTAGACGTAAGGTATGAAGGTTCCACTGCCTTTAACATCCTTTCAGATGACAATTTCTCGAACTTGGGCCCTTTAAATGAAATGGGGAAATTCAAAGTTGATTAAATTAATTTAGACTTCTGTTTACCCATGAATTCGTGGGTAGAACCTCTTGTCTATGATTAAAATGATTGTTTATTTCTACATTCGTTTTATGTTTCTATAACACCACAAATAAATTTCCACCGTTTCTGTAATTAGGCTAGCTACAATTTTATAATGTATAGGGCCTATATTTTTAAGAGACCTAAGTACAGTTATTGAAGAATATTATTTTAGTACCGTAAATAAATGATATACCCTTTAGATTTAAAACTATTAAAATTATTAAAACAAACAAACAGTTATTGTTATACAAATATATCAAATCCAAGTACCGGTAGCTTTTGGCAATGCACATTCGTTAAATCATGTGTCATTCATGTAATTCATTAAATGTGACATTCATTAAATTAGTGTCATTGGAATGGAACTTTATAATTCATTAAGGAAATAAAAACATGTTTAATAAAACATACACTTTATTTACAAGGTATTATATCACTCACCATTTGACATGTACTTATTCAAAAATACATTACGATATTAGAGTTCCTGATATTCACAATTTTTCTACTGACATACCTTTTTCAGTTTTTTCTTTGTCATTCGTAATTTTTTGTCTGTTTAAAAACTTTATCCTCATTATTATTCTTCTTTGTACAAATAGCTCGATAATGTCTAGAGGGAAACAGTCAACTTGATCATTTAATTTCTCCACAAGGCGTTTCTTCACATTAGGGCCTTAAAAATCTTAAATTTAAATTTGTTAGAATTCCTTTTCTAAAATCTCAACTTTTTCCATGAAATCCACTGTTGTTTCTGTTAAACCCCCTTAGGAATATCTCACCCATCCAGGTTGATGTTTTTTTCGCGTTGGTAGGTAAAATTTCCAAGATTAGGATAGGCCCTACTTATTTCTGAACTTTTTGGCTATAGTATCCATTCTACAATATAGTTAGTCCATCTTTCGATACACAATCTTCCAAACTACTGTATCCTTTAACAACTCAACTGATTCCTTCTCATCCACATAACTTTTTTCATTCTCTTCGTAGTCGAAGGGCGCCTTTATCTCTTGGTCAATACTGCATGATACAGAGCTTTCTCTTAAAACTTTCCCAATTATGAATTCATCTGACGTGTTCTCAGTAGGGATGGACGGGATTGAATTTTTAGTTCGGGACGGGACGGGACGGGATTTTTATTTCCTTCCCAATTTTCGGGACGGGACGAGACGGGATTTTTTTCTGTGCATGAAAAGAAAGTACTGTATTGCAGTTACCAAAAAGACATACGAAATCAATTTTTACCATTTGTGGCACTGATCTATAAAAACAAAAAAATGGGTAACAATTTACAGGTACCTATAGTAACTTGTAACTCGCGGATCACGGGGTGATCGTCTGTATGGCTCACAGTCATGGCGCGATCGTCGTCATGACTCGCGATCACGGCGCGATCGTCGGTATGACTCGCGGTCACGGCGCAATCGTCGGTATGACTCCGCGGTCACGGGGTTATCGTCAGTATGACTCGCGGTCACGGGGTTATCGTCGGTATGACTCGCGGTCACGGCATGATCGTCGGTATGACTCGCGATCACGGCTCGATCGTCAGCATGACTCCGCGGTCATGGCGCGATCGTCGTCATGACTCGCGGTCACGGCGCGATCGTCGTCATGACTCGCGGTCACGGCGCGATCGTCGTCATGACTCGCGGTCACGGCGCGATCGTCGTCATGACTCGCGGTCATGGCGCGATCGTCGGTATGAGTCGCGGTCACGGCAAGATCGTCGGTATGACTCGCGATCACGGCTCGATCGTCGGTATGACTCGCGATCACGGCTCGATCGTCGGTATGACTCGCGGTCACGGCGCGATCGTCGGTATGACTCGCGGTCACGGCACGATCGTCGGTATGGCTCCGCGGTCACGGGGTTATCGTCGGTATGACTCGCGGTCACGGCGCGATCGTCGGTAGGACTCCGCGGTCACGGCGCGATCGTCGGTATGACTCGCGGTCACGGCACGATCGTCGGTATGGCTCCGCGGTCACGGGGTTATCGTCGGTATGACTCGCGGTCACGGCGCGATCGTCGGTAGGACTCCGCGGTCACGGCGCGATCGTCGGTATGACTTCGTCTCCTGCGTTCGCGGACCTATCGCTCGCAATAACGGCGTTATTGGCACTCGCGAAGCGGAAAAATCGCCGACGATCGGACCAAATCCCGTCCCGAAAAATTCCCGAGTCAAATGTAATCCCGTCCCGATAATCGGGAATATTTTTTTCCCGAAAAATTCCCGAAATTTCGGGACCCGTCCATCCCTAGTTCTCAGTATTCACGTTACTCCTAACCGTACCCGTGTTCTTCTCAAAACAATCATGCACATTCTATACAATCATTCCATAGGTGTATTTCTTCCCCCACCCTCTCTTATTAAGGAAACAAGATTTTCCAAACTATCTTGATTTAGCTTGGATGTTAAAATATACGTTATTTTATCATTACATTTCAAGTCGTCATACATTTCAATTACTGGCCTAGTAGACATGAGTACATACCTTTTTGATGCAATTAAATTTTTGTTTTATTCATACACTTAATGTGTGCTTCTCAAATTATAGGAAAATTTCAAGGAGGATAAAATACAAAGTTTAACTATTCAAACTGTTTTTATTGTTAACCTTACAAGTTAATAAAATACTCCAGGAACATCATACCATAAGGGCTAAGCCAAAAAATTATTTTTTATATTTTTAATTGATTTTTTACTTCAATAGGTTCACGTAATTGTGTCATTTCTGTAATGTATTTCCAACTAGCCTACATTAAAAAGTAAAATGCCCTATTTTTTTTTAATTTGTGATATAAATAAGATGGACTACTGAAATACAGTATTCCTGAAATACTTAAAAAAAAGAGGCTGGTACCGTGTCACAATAAACATTTTACTACATTATTAGAGCTCAAACAATTGTTATTTGTGTGTGGATACATTTGTTAGTATGTTAATGAAATTTACAAATATTAAAAAACTCTAAACCTGTAGAGATTTGGCAGAAATAAAATAAAATTTGTACATTACCTGAATGATATACAGTGACAGAAATGATTGTACCATTACCGAAATGATCAAAATTAATTCCCAGATGGCCTTTAACTTAAACATGACAAACTAAGTACCTTATCATAGTATATTTACATTTTTTCAATGCACAAAAGGCAATAGAAAATTAGCATTTAATAAAAAAAGGCAAACTAATAATGTTGCATGAGCCAAAAACAACCAACACGGGTACAGCGTAACGTTTTTCATAGTATTGGCACATTCTGAGAAAAGTCAACTGCTGCAGTGCGCTGTATAAATGTGGCCTCCGTATAATACCAAAGTACCAAAAGAACGAGGCTTAACCAGAAGCATATTAAACCCTAAGTCATTTAGTAAGAGAGTTAAATACCCCCGCCGCAGCAAACCTGCAGACTAAGCGAATTTCAACTTGTCTGATTACATTTTTACTAAAATATTTCCATAAATAATACATATTATTCCCTATTTAAATAACATTAGATTTAACAAGTGCTTAGGTTTGCTGCTAAGGGGAAGGTAAAAAGTTTTTTTTGACCATACATCATTAGTATAGGATGAAATAAATAAATTTGCCTAATTTTATCAATATATACCCATAAACAAGTAAACTACCGGTACATCAATTTTCATTTTCTCCAAGAGAATAACATGGGAATTTTTAATTACACTATTTTTGAATTTTTTCCATGACTGTTAGGCATACAACAGCGCTTCAATCCTACTAAACGATTGATTTTTTTAAGCTCTACAAAACGTTTTAGAAAGAAATCGCAAAATTTTTTGTTTTTACGTTCAAAAATGGGAAAAACCCATTTTTACCCCATAAAACCCCCCATAATCCCCCGTTCCCATGGTCCGATTATGCTGGATCGCGAACTCGTTCGAATAAACGTAGGTTTACACGTTTGTACCAAATTTCATCAAAATCGGATCATTTTTGCT